CAACTCCCACATTCCCGGGATTTCCCACATGAATAAATTCCTCCCCGGGATTCAGATCCTTGGGTCCTGCCTTGATCCAACTCCCACATTCCCAGGATTTCCCATGTGGATAAATTCCCTCCTGCCCAGGATTTGGATCCTTGGATCCTGGCTGGATCCAACTCCCGCATTCCCAGGATTCCCCGCATGGGTAAATTCCCGTCCCCAGAATTTGGATCCTTGGATCCTGGCTGGATCCAACCTTTCCCCTCTGGCAGGTGGGATTGCAGGAGGAAGAGGAGCTCTGCTCCATAGGGAATTTCCCTCTGTGGTTTTTTGGGATGTGCCATCCCTGCCCATCCCAGTGCTGTGGGCAACCCCATTCCCATCCCGTTCTCACTACCATTCCCCATTCCCACTCCCATTCTCCCTTTCCYATTCCCCATCCCAGTTCCTATTCCCATTCCCATCCCATTCCCACTCCTGTTCCCATTCCCCATTCCCATTCCCCATTCCCATTCCCATTCCCCACTCCATTTCCATTTCTCACTCCCATTCCCATCCCCCATTCCCTGTTCCCATTCCCATTCCCACGTCTCCACTCCCATTCTCCCTTTCCCATTCCCTATTCACACTTCCATCCCAACCCCATTCCTCATTCCCCATTCCTTTTCCACTCCCATCCCATTCCCATTCTCATCCCACTCCCATTCCCCATTCCTATCGCATTCTCCATTCCCCCTCCCTTTCCCACTTGCATTCCCCATTCCCATTTTCATCCCATTCCCATTCCCCATTCCATTCTCATTTCCATTTCCATCCCATTCCTAATTTCCCTTCCTCATTCCCATTCCCATCCCCATTCCATCCCCACTCCCCATCTCCATTCCCATCCCCATTCCCCATCTCCATTCCCATTCTCCATTCCTACTCACACGCCCATTCCCATTTCTATCTCATTCCCATTCCCCATTCCCATTCTCATTCCCCACTCCCACCCCTCATTCCCCACTCCCATCCCCTGTTCCCATTCCCATTCCCCATCTCCACTCCCATTCTCCGTTCCCATTCCCCATTGCCACTTCCATCCCAACCCCATTCCCACTCCCACTCCCCACTCCCATTCCCCATTTCCATGCCCATTTCCCATCCCATTCCTGTTCCCACTTCCATTCCCTATTCCCATTCCCATCCCACTCCCATTTCCCATTCYCATTCCCAATCCCATCCTATCCCATTCCCCACTCCCATATCCACGCCCATTCCCCCTTTTTTTCCCACTCCCATTCCCCATTCCCAATCTCCTTTCCATTCCCTATTCCCACTCCCATTTCCCATTCTCATTCCCAATCCCATCCTATCCCATTCCCCACTCCCATATCCATGCCCATTTCCCCCTTCTTTTCCCACTCCCATTTCCCATTTCCATCCTACTCCCATTT